GAACCTTTCAAAACCGCCTAAAACCGCATATAATAATAACTAAAACGCCTAATTTCAACACCTAATTCACTTGTATTGTAAGAGTCCAAACCAAGAATGTATATTAGAGTCTACTAAATTCGTTACGCATTAAATTGAATCGCCGACCACATTATTTAAACGTTATTAATAAAAAACATCAGTTTAATAAATGCGACGGTCCATTTAGGTTGACGGGTCCATTATTATTAGACATATAACCACAATATTTATTAGGTCCATTATCAATATTGGGCCTATTCGTTAGCTGTCGTCACTAGCTGGTTTTGTTAAATTTGGGTTACATTGTAACATTTGAAACTTCTTGTCCGATTTGATAAAAATTACTAATAAAGAGGGTACTTTTAAGAAAACTGGAGAAAAAAAGAGAAATGGATAAAAAGAACCGTTTGAAGAATCGGCGGATAAGAGAAAAAAAAAAGATGCAAACGCTTCTGAATCAGCCATGTAAGTCTCTGTTCACTGCTTCTTCTTCTTCGTCGTCGTCAATTCGTAGCTCCGGTGATGTGCGAGACTGTATCTACTTTAGACAATCGGAGAAAGCTTCTCAGTTTCAATTTCGTATAACCCTAAGCCCTTTTCCGTTTCGTAGTTTCGCTATTTGTCGCGATTTTGTTGTCCGTGGAGGTTATGGGATTAGGTTTTGTTCTCGAGACGGTGTTTCCGATGTTCGGAACGGAGGAATCGTGGCTGAGAAAGAGGAGGAGGAGGAGCTTGAGCTGTTGAATAAGCCTAATCCTGTAGCGAAATCAGACGAAGACGAGAAGGAGAGTGGGAAAGCAGACGATGACGAGATTCTGGAGCCGTTTCTGAAATTCTTCAAACCGGAAGAAGAAGAAGAAGGCGAATCGGAAGTTTCCGAGGGGAGGCATAGAGTCAGTGTTGAGTATTACGACCCTAAACCTGGTGATTTTGTGGTTGGTGTTGTGGTTTCGGGTAATGAAAACAAGCTCGATGTGAATATTGGTGCGGATATGTTGGGAACTATGTTAACGAAGGAGATTCTTCCTCTGTATGATAAAGAATTGGATTATTTGCTGTGTGATTTGAAGTATGATGCTGAAGAGTTTATGGTTAATGGGAAAATGGGGATAGTTAAGGATGGTGATGAAGATGGTGTTGGGATTTCGGAATTTGCAAAGCAAGGTAGGCCTGTGGTGGAGATTGGGACGGTGGTTTTCGCCGAGGTTTTAGGGAGTACGTTGAGTGGAAGACCTTTGCTTTCTTCTAGACGTTACTTTCGGAGAATCGCTTGGCATCGAGTGAGGCAGGTTCTTTTCTTGTGCCTTGATTGTTCATTCATTCTCTGGATTCAAAAACTGTTCTTGGTTTGAATCATTCATATATTGATGATTTGTTCTTTGGCAGATCAAGCAACTTAATGAGCCTATTGAAGTTAAGATAACAGAGTGGAATACAGGAGGGCTTCTCACTAGAATTGAGGTCCCCAAATTTTTGTCTTGATTTTGGGGATTCATATGTGCTTGGACTTCCTACTTTAAGTGGATGATCAAAAGCTCTTTGTTGGTTCGGTTTTCAGGGTTTGCGGGGTTTTATTCCAAAGCAGGAACTGGTGAAGAGAGTGAACAGTTTCACCGAGTTAAAGGAAAACGTAAAGCAAGAGTTTCTTCTTCTTACACTGTAACAAATTTGTTTTTTCGCTGAATGTCAGTAAGCTTCTTTGGCTTCACAGTTCTGCATTTGCTCAGGCTTTTTTTGTGTGTGTTACAGGTGGGTCGTAGACTCGTTGTGCAGATTACGCGATTGAACGAAGACAAAAATGACTTGATACTGAGTGAAAAAACAGCCTGGGTTAGTTTCACTTTTTGTCGTAGCATTGTCGGAGAAAACCAACGATGAGATTAATGATATATCTCGCGTAATGTCTCAGGAGAAGCTATACCTTCGAGAAGGAACACTCTTAGAAGGAACAGTTGCCAAAATCTTACCATATGGAGCTCAAGTCAAACTCGGAGATAGTAGTAGAAGGTTAGTTCAAGTCTAATGCTTCCATATGTTTGCTCTTCGTTTTGAATTCGTTTCGTTTGCCAATCAATGTTTTTACAGTGGACTGCTACACATTTCAAACATAACTCGTCGAAGAATTGGATCCGTAAGCGATGTGCTTCAGGTAGATGAAAGCTTAAAGGTCCTGGTTGTGAAATCTCTATTCCCAGACAAGATATCTCTCAGGTCAAAAACCTTAAACAGAAACACAAATTCCAAAACTCGATGGTTCTCCTCGCTACCAACTAAAAACCTCTTCTTCTATTGTTTTTCTTTCTACAGCATTGCAGATCTCGAAAGCGAACCGGGTTTGTTCATCACAAACAGAGAGGTACAATTCTTCGGTCTTTCTATCGACAGTGCTCAGTCATATGCACCTAACTGCTTCTCTTGTATCCCGAAAACACCATTCATTTCCATTCTTTAAAAGTGTTCTGTGAATTTGTTGTTACAGAAAGTGTTTATGGAGGCTGAAGAGATGGTAAAGAAGTACAGAGAAAAGATGCCTCCAGTGGATACAAGCCCGATCACTGATCGTCCTCCGATCACAAGCGGTTTCCCTCAGGGCAAGGATGAAGAAATCTATGCGAACTGGGACTGGTTCAAGTTTGAGAGTCAGTGATTCATATGTTGTACAATGATTTCTGTATTTCAAAATTTTGGGATTATATATGTTATATTATGAGTAAATGGTTTAACTTCGTTCTTCCTCCTTACAAACCTTGTTCCATTACAGAAGATGTTCATCTATGTAAAGATCAAAACACAAGAACGAAGCTCACTGAAACATAAACTTATAAAAAATTGTTTCCAAGTTTTGATTTCTCTACTCCAAAGAGTAAATGTAGTTACTTTATTGAAGCACAACACAGATGATAAACAAATGGCTCAGTATCCAAATCGTAATCGGTGAAGAAGAARAAGGAATTTTTCTGCTAACCTCTTCGTTCTCCATAGAATCAAACATCATCAATCGATCATTCGTTTAGCTGCTCAAGTTCAGCTTTTAGCTGTTCAATCTTAAGCCCCATGGATCGTTGCAAAGAAGCTTTCTCTTTCTCTGTTACTTTCTCGAGCAAACCATCGAACAACTCCAAAACCTCCGAAACGGCGTTTCTCGCGCACTCAGCTTCCTCGTTGAAGTAAACAGTCTCTTTCGCATCCATCGCCATTTCGATCTCCTCACGCGCTTCAGCGAATTTGAGATTGATCTCGTCTACTACCTTGTTCACATCTGGCGCGCCGCTAGAGTCGGTGCCGTATCTCCTTTGAGATGAAGCGTTTAGGATCCGGAATATCAGTGATTGGTACGGTGCTTGTGAGAGACTCGAGTTCAAATAGGGAGACGATGATGGAGGTCGGAGATGACCGGAGACATCGCCAAGCGAGTTTATGGGTACCGGAGAAGATGTAATGCTAAAACTCTGAGAGATTCGGAGAGACTTTCTGGTGAATAAGTTTCGGAGAGAAATCGCTGAGTGGAGACGCATGGCTCCGCCGGTTAGGTTTCTCCGAGATTCTGTTTGGTCGGCGGCGAAGATAAGTGGGCAAATGAGAGGATTTGTTTCATTAAAGAGGAAGAAGAAGAGTTGTTTTGGGCCTAATGGGCCTCACAATTTAGGCCCATCTTAAGGTCTCAAGAAAAATCAAGCTACGGTAATTGGTGGGACAAATGTCAAAATAAGACATGTTAAAGGTCAAAGTATCAACTAAACCACAGAAGCACCTGAACCAGAAACCAAAAGCTTCTCACTGACCCCACCAATGTCGAACCACTACATTTGCATTGACTATTACGCAAACTAAACCCCTACATAAACCCCTTGAGCTCAAAGACACCAAACCGCAACACCAACAATCTTGCTGTTTAGATTGCATCCAATGGCTCGAACTATTCGATCATCTCAAACACAGCCGCATAAAGTTCTACAGATGAGTTTAGCTGCTGCAAGTCTCGTTTTGGTTGGCCTTTCAGAGTTCATGTGCGCTTCGAAGAGGAAGCTTCGTCGTTGGGCTGCTTGTTATGGCTCTGGAGATCATGAACCTGTTATACATCTCCAAA